AGTAGAGGTAAATTAAAAATCATTTTTGATTGTTCATGAATTAATTATGGTAAATTTAAGATGACTATTGTTTTCTTTTTCATAATTATTGATCATTTAGTTTTTTCTCTGTTTAGTAAATTTACTGCTGGGAACCAAGTTGATTTTGCATTTCAGTGCTGTGACTTAAGTGAGAATTATAAAACATGTTGAATGTTTAAAATAAAGGATGTCAGTCATACAGTCACAAGAAAGCAAAGTGATTTTGTTTTCATTAATGTATTTTTCATGTTGTTTTTTTTTTTTTGTTGTTTAGGTTAATAAGCAAGAACTAGACCTTTATTCTATTATTTATTTTTGCTATAATATGGTAAACTTTCAGTAAAGCTCTTCTATCATGAAACATAGCTTTGACAAATGCAGCAAGATTCCCAAAGGTGACTGATATGATATTTAGTTACTGAACAGAAGTTTCATTATTATATAGTGAAACTACAGAGAGTAGTTTGGGGCAAAAATCATTCAAAAATTACATCTGATGTTACACAAAATATTTTGGGTTCGAACGTTTTAGGTACGAATCTGATAGGAAATATATGCGTCAATACTTCTGCATCGAGTGGTTCTTGTATGAAATTATTAACATTCTAACCATTTTCTGTCCCAGTTGACGGATGATTTTGATATTTGCTCATTTGCAGTACTTTTTAATTTGTAAACAAAGCCCATAGCAACCATGCGGTCTCACTAATTACCGACAAGAACCGTCGGTAGAAATGGAAAAAATACGAATTAATTTCACTACTTCATCATTTTATAATCACAATTCCTAATATTTTTACATGAAAAACATAATAAATTCGTTCCGAACCATGTTTATAGGCAAATATCTATAGCGACAATATTCGTGGTATGAATTTAAATTTAATTCCCGTGACATCAGTTCCGAGGTCATAAAGTTCATCCTACGTAAAAGTTTTGTACATTTGTTTAATGATGATATGTAATTAGTGTGGTGAAAATTAACATCTTAATTGAAAATTTGAACCGATTTTAACTCTACTATCAAAAGTTTCGATTGTAATAAAAATGGAAGCGTAAACCATACACCATTTAGCCCCCATAACCCCATGCGTGATATTGATATCTCTGTAAAAGGTGTTGAGAAGCTTCTAAAAAACCTCAACCCCCATAAGGCTGCAGGACCCGATCAAATTAGACCCATTGTGCTCAAAAATACCAGTAAAGAATTAGCCCCTATAGTGTCCAAACTTTTCCAGAAATCACTGCAGTCCAGCACTCTACCAGACATCTGGAAAATGGCAAATGTCGCCCCTGTCTTTAAAAAAGGTAGCAAGTCAGACCCAGCCAACTATCGCCCTATCTCTCTTACCTGTATCTTGTGTAAACCCTGGAACACATTGTCTCCTCCAGTATAACAAAGCACTTTTACTAGATCAAACTTGTTCTATGATTTGCAGCATGGTTTCCGAGAAAAAAGGTCATGCCAATCCCAATTATTAATGCTTATAGATGATATCCTACAGTCAGTAAATCAGAGAAGCCAAGTAGACTTAATCCTTCTTGACTTCTCTAAGGCCTTTGATATGGTCAACCATGAAAAACTCCTGTATAAGCTGCATTTCTACGGTATAAGGGGTCAGACTCTTAAATGGATCAAAGGTTTTCTTGATAACAGGTCACAGTCCGTGGTGGTAAATGGCTCCACATCCAGCACCATACCAGTCTCCTCCGGTGTTCCCCAGGGCTCGGTCCTCGGACCTCTCTTATTTCTTATATACATAAATGACCTTCCTGAATATGTCCAATCCTCTAAGGTCCGCCTATTTGCTGATGACACAGCCATCTATCTATCTCTGACTGTCGCTTCTCATTCTAGCTTACTTCAACATGACTTACACCAACTTGAACAATGGGAAACAAAATGGGACATGCAATTTAATCCATCAAAATGCCAGGTTATCCAAATCACAAAACGAAAAAACAGTCATTCCAACAAAATACCTCCTACATAACACCACATTAGAAACAGTTCCATCTGCAAAATACCTTGGCATTACAATATCAAATGATTTAACATGGAACAAACACATAAACAACATCACAACAAAGGCGAATCAAACACTTGGTTTTCTACGCCGAAACATCAAGGTTCACTCAGAAAGGTTAAAGTCAACCGCATACAAGACACTTGTCAGACCCCAGCTTGAGTAAAGCTCCACGGTCTGGTCCCCCTACACAGGAACTCTCATTGACCAGATAGAGTCAGTCCAGAGAAGGGCTGCTAGGTGGGTCAAACATGACTTTGGCCGTATGTCAAGTGTCACTGACATGTTGACTTCCTTCAATGGAGGCGCCTTGACCTTCGGCGTATTGACCAACGGTTGGTCATGTTTCACAACATCCTGCATGACCAGGTGGCTATTCCTTTCCCAAAGTATATCGTCCCTCTTACAAGATCATCTAGAACATCCCATCTCCATGCATTCCAACAAGTCCAAACTAAAACTGATTACTATAAATATTCATTTTTCCCAAGAACAATTGTCCACTGGAATGCTTTACCACCTGAAATCATAAACTTGTCTGGCCCCGAGTTCAGTCTGGCTGTAAGCCGGATTGAACATACGTCTCCCTAAAAATACCTTTTCTGTTTTTAACCTGTTTTTAACAATATACTCATTTCCTTTACTTTTATATTCTTTTATTTCAACTCTTTTACTAACATTCTTGTCAGTTGACGCGCGTCAAGTCTAGGTCCCCAGCAGGGGTTTGACTATATGGAAGATAGATAGATAGACCATGTGTTAATTTTGACATATTCCGCGAAAATAACATAACCGGATATAGAATTTATTGCATGTCGGGATTAGTTTTGGTTAGTTTAATCAGCGGTTAATTTTAACCATTTTGGTTAGTTAACCTTTAGGTTATCTCGGTTTATACAAGTGACTAACCAAATTGGTTAGTTAACCAAAGTTGGTTAAATTTAACCCAGGGTTAGCGTTTAACCCAGGGTTAATTTAACCAACGTTTATACAATTGGGTGCAGAGCTAAAAGTAGTTATAAGTATTAACCAAAATCTCTTCAGTCATGCTGCAGATTTTGATGAAACTTCATATTAATGGCAAAACTGATTGTATAGTGATCTTTTACAAAAAAAATTAAACTCATGTCTGCTTATCAAGATGACAGATCTATGTATATAATATAATGATAGAAATAGGCTTCAGGGCAATATAATTAAAATTCATTAGGAATTTATACTTTAGTTTGGTACTTACAAAAATTGTTCAAATAATTACAGTCTGTTTGAACAAGATGGCTGAATTGCATACTAAATAGAAAAAAAGACTTTTTAAGTGACTTTTCTTAAATGCTTGGCTGAGTTTGATGGAAAGTCTTGTCCTTCGTAAAACAATATCCTCAGATGACTGGATTAAAGGACGCATCATGGCTCTCTTGTTCTCTTAGTTCATTAAATTGTTTTGGCAGAAAATGTCTTTGAAACTGTTTTTATTTGTAATGGGAGCAATATTTTGTATAAAAATGTTTGAAGAGGAATAAATGGGAATAATTAGAGAAATTCTATTTATGAAGAAATCTGTAAACTGTCAAGAAATGATTGAAGTGTCATTACCGTATCGCAAATTGCCTTAACATAAAAACTAAATGTATTTTTGTTTTTTATATGAAGGAAGTTATTACTGTGCCAACATTAAATGTCATTTTAGACAGTCATGTTAAATGGATCAAGATTTATTATATCGTGTCACATTTTCCAAAAGAACTGCCATTAAGAACATTGACATAATTATAGAAGCTGAAACTTAAGGTGTGATAAAAATCACTGATCACACATTTGTTGACTGACCTCGATCTGAGTTACTAGGTTATGGAGTTGATTAAAGTTGTTATAAATTATAATAATTTTTTACTGCCTTCAGAATGTAGGATATTGAAAATACACCAAAATATAAATGTTTATATAATTTTTACCCAATTTCATCAACAATATTAACTCTGGAAATATGAAAATGTACTTGCAAAGATTAAAAAGTTAATGAAAAAGTTTTGAAAAACACATTTAAATGATCAATTTAAGTAACATATAAGCCTTACTATACGTATTCATTTGATATTTTACAAGATTTATATTATATAAATATTATGAAAATGAACTTACTATTTCTGCCATGTTGGAAAAAAAATAAAATTCTATACTTAGGCCATCCTTAAAAATTGTTTTGTTTGCAGTAACACTACTCAGAAATTTTCAGTGTGGGTAGGTAGGTCGATTTTTTTTTTTTAATTTTTTTTTTGCATGAACTCTACAAATACTACCATTTGCGTGAACTCTACATATACTACCATAGACTAAACAGCAAAACAAGATCACTAATACCCAATATAGCATTTGTAATGTCTTTGTAAGACAGCTTTACCATGGGCGCTGCCATGTTGAATTAATAAATTAATGCAAAAAAATAAACTACAGCAAAAACAAAAACACTCTGGGATTTTCGCGAAAAAATTTTTTGCTTTGCCAGACCCTAAAAAATAGTTCGGGCATTGAATTTCGTGAGTCGGTCGCGTTACTGCAAACAAACAATTTTTTATATTTGATATTTTTTCAATTTTTGTACATAATATATGTAATTTAATGATATATAATACCTAATTAAAAATTAGCTGCAATCATTTTATTAAATAAAATTGAACATTTCATGATATTCCTTTGTTTTTTATGAAGATTTGCTTTACCTGGAGGCGTGCTGTTGTTTTTAAGAGGAAAATCTCAAACAGGTAAACAATGATTTTTGTCAACCAGACCTGTGATTATGTTGTGTTAGATGTTTATAATTACATTCACTCCTTCAAAAATGATACCAATGTGCGGCTATTTTTATTATTTTAATTATATAGTGAATACGATAATTATAATCATGATGTCTATTTATTGTATAATTTTCAGAAGAAAAAACCTAAGATTACCTCAACCCATGTATTGATGTAAAGAGGACACTCCGACACACCGCAGTATGATTGTTAGACAAGATAAAGATAGTCAGGAAATTCTGTGGATAAAAAACCCAACAGATTATTACAAGTCTGCTGCATGCGAAGGTAATATAGTAGTAGACCATTGTTCCCGGAAAATTTTTGTTTTTTAAACGGGGAATTTTTTCCCGGGTGAAAAACAGTCTTAAATTGGGGGCCTTATAAATTTTTTCATCTTAAGAAGTTTAACTTTGTCAAGCTGAGAAAAAAATTAATTTTGTTTTTAAAACCTAGTGATAAATTATTTTTATATTTTTGGAAAAAAAACAAGGGAAGTATTTCCTTTTAAAAAATTTTGCAAAATTTTGAATAAAAATAATTTTTATTTAAAAAAAATAAAATAGATTTTACGAGTTTTTTTTGAAACATATGCAAATTTTGCCTGGGGCAAGTTTTTTAACATTTCATGTACAATTTTTTTGAAAATTTTAAATTTAAAAAAAATGAAATTAAAATTTTTCAAAAATTTTGTTAAACTTAAAAAATTTTTCTAAACAAATTTTTAACATTAAAAAAAGTTATTATTATAATAAATTATATACATTAAAACAGGCAAAATGAGATAAAAACAAGTTTGCTTATTATAAGTATAAAAAGATTTGATAAGTGTAGAAAAAATGTTTAGAATATATGATCTTTTATTGTTAATATATTATAATTAATTTCAAAGAAAAAATTCAGTGTTCTTTGTAATATGATGATATATGTTGTAAATAGAAACAATTTGCTTATTACATTTTATAATTATTAGAACAAACTTAAAGCAGCATGCCTCCAGATTTAAGCTAATTTTCAAGAAATTATTTAAAAAGATGAGTGTTAACATATATTAGTGTTTGAAATTATTTTTTGTCCGACCAGGATTGCATTATTTTAAATGAATCGTAACACATTTACTTTGGTAAATCAGCAAACTGTTAATCAGTCGCACCTAACCAATTTAATTTTGTATATACAAACTTTAACCTAGTAATCAATTTTCACCTGATTAACTGCACTTACAACCCACTTAAATTACTAAAATGAGGTAAAAATGTGCAAAAAAAATATTTCCAATTGAAATATTTTGGCTTATCTGGAGGCATGTAGCTTTAAAGGAACTCCACTGACATCAAAAAGCCTAAAATATAAAATTTGAAAATCTTTCATAGATCTAATGAAGCACTTAAATAAAACAGAAAAATCTGCAAAGGATTATAAAGAAATATACTTAGAATTGAATTGATTATCAATCTTTTTGTGCAATTCTTAGCCCAATTTGATTTTTGGATGCTGTTGCACAATAAAGATAATTGTTCTGGAAAACGGGATGAGGGAATGATCTGAAAATCTGCACTAAATAAGCCTTCATCGAATGGTACATAAATTTGGAAAAACATTTTCTATGTTGTGTCAGTAAACCTTAGTGGAGTCCATTTAACAAAAGTAAAAAAAAATCTCTGAAGCTTTGTTGAAAAGAATTTTATACCTATTATCATAATGATATATTAATACAATTCTTTTATGATAGACAGCACTAAGCCACTTCCCTGTTGCTTGCTATAAATCCCAACCACTGATCACCTGTCGCTGTTTTAATTTCCTCAAGTTGATATGATTAGAATTATCATCATTAGAAACCCACAAAGTTCTTACTACATACAGGCACAGCATTAAAATATAGCAAAATAAGTACATTTTTTCTTAATATTCAATACTAAACCCAATAAAGACACAGTGGTGATGGAGGTGGCTAATTTTGTAATATGTGTGATGTGTTTTACCCACAGTGTCACAGTATATAAACAAATCTATTTCCAGTTATAGCTAGAAAGGTATAAGATAAAATATATAGACTCCCAAGTAAGGTACAGTGATCCGGAGTAACACCCGCTTGTAATCTACACATTGAATTGTATAGGCTTACAAGACAGGGTACAGTGTTTTCCTACTTTGAACTATGTAATAACTAGGATTTTAAAATTCTAATGTTGAACAAATTGTTGTATAATGCCGAAACTCAACGAATGAAGTACCTTAGTTAGAAGCCGTATATTGGTGAATTGTTGGTAAGAATACAGACCTGTCTAAATTCAGATTTTACAGCACAATTCGATGGCTCAGCGCAATACTGGTCTAACTGCTATTTTTGAAAATGTTCAGGAGAGACAAAAAACTGATTTTATTCAAAAATACTTATATTAGAAAATATTTTTTTGCTATGTTAACATTAATTATAATAAGAAATAATGCCATTTATATAATTTTTTATTAAAATGTTACAAATTGTGTATTTTAGAGTTAGACCTTTATTGCGCTGAAATTCTGAGTGCAATACAAGACTAACTTGAGTTAGACTCAAATTCCCTCTTGCAATTTGGTAAAAGTGGTACAAATATTTGAGTTAGACCTGTTTTATGTTAAATATTCTGATATAATGAAATTTTAAATTTTGAACAACATTGTTTTGTTAATTTAAACATTGTTTAAAATATTTTGCAAGTCTGTAAAAGAACTTTACAAAGACTAAATCCTTTAATATTTTTCTATTAATATATCATGCGAGCTGACTTTAGATGAAAGTACACTTCTTTCTCCTTTTTCAATTTGTTTGAGATTCAGATTTACTTAAGATCTTTTGCAGATTATCTGTGCAATAAATTTGAATTCTAAACAAAATGCAAACAGTTTTGATTCATATAGTGTTATGAACAGTAGTCATGAACAATGATGACTGACGATCCAGGTATATATTATGATATCAAACAGGGAATGTACATTTTGTATAACTCACATTTGTACAAAGAAAACACATTTTATTTTCTCAATGCACATCATTTCCACCATTGGTGCTTAAATGCTGTGATTCCGATATTACTGTTATGTGCTATATCTTAATGAATTTAATGAATGTGGTCCTCTTTTCTGATGATATAATCATTTATAAATATCAAATATTTTCAAAAATGAAAACCGCTGTTAGACCATGCTTTTATTACAATTTTTGTATGCACTTTCTCAACTGTTTAGGGTATATTTTGAAAGTGTAATGTGCAAATTTTATGACATGTTTTGCTGAAAACTTTCATTTTATACAGTTGCCTCTCAATAAGTCAAAATCGCTTTACTCAAAATTTCGTGTAAGTCGAAGTCTCGTCAAATTTCCTTCCTTATCATTGTATTTTAACTCCGCTTAGGTCAAATTTTGACTAACCGAGACTCCTGTTTAGTCGAAAAGAAAATTTGGTCCCGTCAGTTAAAGTCCAACATATTGTCATCTCAATTAGTCGAAGTGTGAAAACAGCCGACTGATCAAAGGTCGGCGACATCAAGGTGAAATGTTGCCACTCGTGATTCAAACGTTTCATGGTAATTTTAATTGTTGGTCATCATGTATTATTAGCACGTCGTAAAACTGGCTTTAATCGGTTTCAGGACTTAATTGGTTTTAAGAAAGTTGACTCGGGTGTTAGTTAAATAACAGTCTAGGTATTGTTGTGTGTTATCAACGTAACTTACATTTGTATAATTAATGTTCCGTCATATTGCATACATTAATATGTACTTCTGGTTCATGATAGTTGCTACTTTCGTAATCGTCCGATGATCAATTCACTCCAAATATTAGATAAATTGTTGAAATAAATGTTGTTATTGTGCTTTTATTGTTATGAATTGTCATGAGTGCTTATTAAAACATGTACTTTACTGATGAATCAGGCACATGTATATACATCTACGAATGTCAACGTAATGGCGCAGATCTACGTAACTCGAATTCCGTTTCTCTCGAAGTAAAATACCCAGTCCCATGGATTTCGAGTTACCGAGAGTCAACTGTATATCAAAGTCATTTTACCTCTAAATTTTGACCAAATAACAAGAGGTTGTCAAACATATTTTAGAGAAAAAAGTAAGGCTGTACAACCCACTATCAGGGATTCATTGAACAAAGTATTGTTAGCACATGATATAATTCAGAATCATTTTAGTAAAGTTAGAAGTGCTTTAAACACTAACTTGCAACCACTTACTCATTCAGATATGAAAAGGCGCACACCTGAAAAGCACCATGTGCACACCTTAGATTAGCACTAAACAATTAGAATGGATAAATGTTTGAATTTTCTCATTGACACTGATACTATACCAAAAGCAGTTGATAGTCATTACATTTTTAATTTCATTAAATTTGATAGGTAATATTAATGGCTTTTAGATCTAAAATGAAACATTTTTATCAACTTATAGCTGTTTCTGCCACATAAGTCAAAGAGTTTTTGACAATTGCACTCTCGAAAATTCAATGGAGCTGTGTGATGTAAAAAATTATCAGAATACAAGAACTGAAAAGGTCATTATAATGTATAAGTGTGCATATTTTGATTTTTTCTGCACATCAGAAAGATATTGTATCAATAATAAAAGTATTGTGAAGAGTGTGATTTGCACATGTTGACACTATGTTGTTATTGTATTGTTTGAGTTGATAGTGTAAAGTTTATATTTCTAACACTACCCGCATTTTTCCCTTGAACATAGAAGAACCGAAAGTGTGTGTTATTATGCTATAAAATCACTGTTTGACGTTCTATATTTAGACGTGTGACGTAATCATTATACACGTGACGTAACCGCGCTGATAATAAGAACGGAAACAAATCAGGCGCAAATTATAGCTAAATATCAGGTACGGCAGCATTTATTTGTTAATGTCGTGTTAGAATCGAAATAATATATCCAAATCGGTGATTTTATTGCTTGATAACATTACTGTTTGTCGTTCGGATGTGCATCATTATATCACTCGTGCTGCGCCCTCGTGATATAATTCCTCGCATCCGAACTCCAAACAGTGATGTTAATGAGCAATAAAATCACAGTTTGGGATATATTGTTTCTTAAATAACTTTACTTGATTAGAGAGAGTGATACAGAAGTAGATACATAATTTAAAAATAAAAACCCAAGAACGCCCTCAAACCTGAAATTGTTCATTGTGTTACAGGCTAACTTTGATTTGGCAGTGAAACCATGTACAGTCTACTGCCTTACACCATCTTAAGCAGAACACATTATATAAATATGAATAAAGTGTAAAATTAAGAATTAGGAAATCTCAGCATATGATTAAACAAAGGTCAAACTAAAAAAAATATGAATTTTTAGAGGGGGATCAGAGGTTATGAATCCGCTAGTGTAACACATGTTATTTTCCATTTTAAATGTGTGCATGAGAAACACTGTCTTTTACTAAATTGTACAAAAATGATAGTTTCAACTGCACTTAATGTTAAATATCAAATAATACAGTATGAGTATGATGTAATGACTTCAAAGACAAAATAAATGTTTAATTGTGACACTAAATTATTATTAATTTTTTCATTTACAGTTACTTGTACATGATATGCAATTGGATAATATTTTGCGAACGATACAAAGCACTGATGAAGGCAAATAATTTCTAGTGTTTTCATGAATTCTCACATTCTTTATAACACATTTCAATGGGATATGCATATTATTTTATTATTTTTATTTGAAACATTTAAGGTCTAACTCAATGATTTTTGAGGAAAATTGATATATTTGACATCGCAATAAGAGACCAACTCAAGTTAGACCTATATTGCACTAACAAAATTGAACTACCTGAGATAGACTTTTATTTTAAATGTAAATAAAAAAGGCAAAAAAAGCATAAAATACCCTAAAATTTTCACAGAATGTGTATTTGACCTTACATGATCAAAATATGTAAAAAAGTGATTTTTGGTAAAAATGTCACTTAGACCAGTATTGCGCTGAGCCATCGAATTGTTTTTTATGTTTTCCTAATTATTCTCTGCCAGCTATTATATATATACCACAATTATTAACAGTGCCTTATATTTAGGTGTAGAAAGTACATTAAGATTGATGTTCACAAATTTTGGTATTTATGAGTTATTTTTTACAAAATTGTTAAGAGTACAGATAAAAACTGAGCAAGAAAAACGTGTAAAAGCAAAACTTGAGAACAATACAAAAATATGTAAACTTTAAGCATGATTAATTATATACTGAAAGTCCTTTTTCAACATAATATTAAGTATTTTCAAAATGCATAGTAAAAAATGTTTAAACAATTTTCTTATTTTGACAGTACAGCGGTAAACATTTTCATTTAGAAGTTAGTATTAAGTTGATAACACCTCATTAATTTTGATATTTATTTTGTGTGTCTGATTTATTATTTTAGCTTTCTTGGCAAAAAATGTATTATAGTTGAATTAAATTATTTTGTGCTTAACTTCCTGGACTTATCAGTATTGGGGTTATACAAGGTGTTGAGAAATGTCTGGGGTAAGAGGTAGACAACCGTTACCTGTCCATAAGGCCACCAAGTCTCCATCAGGTTTGAGTAACAATGATTGATGGTTGTTGGTTTTAATTTTGGTACAGTTATTTATAGTAATATGATAAATTTGTCTGGTACTGAGTAGTTCCAGTTATTGCACTTTTAGAATAATTTTGATCAACAAAAAGATAAGAAATCTCAAACTCAAATTTACAAAGAAATATAAAGAAATCTGAAATTTTCTTTAATCTTGTTTTGAAGCATCTGTTTATGATAAAAATTTACATATATAAGTTATTTTCATGAGATCTTTTTGTATTTCAGGTTGTGACAAAAACTAGAATGGAGGGCACATCTGATATTTCGGACTTGGAACCAGGAGCTGATCAAGGGAAGGCTGGTCCCAATGTTCACATGCTTCTAAAAATAGTAATTCTGGGCGTCATTGGCTTTGTAAGTGTTGTCGGAAACGGAATAGCACTGGGGACGTTGATAGTGTACAACAAACAGTTGCGTGTTACAATCTACATCGTGATTGGTGGATTGGCTCTAGCAGATATTGTTGTCGCGGTGATGAATGTCCCCGATCAGATCATATTTCAGGTTTGTCATAAGGGACATATATTAATTAAGTCACTTAATCAGAAACTGCTATCAAGCATAATTACTAGACATTATTTGTTTGATTGTATGTAATGAGATATTGTCAGAGGGACTGATTGCTAGGACTTGTTACAAAACAGCTGTATTTTTCATATTTCATATCATTTAGAGTTATTACCATTTGGCACTAAGCAGTTTTATTTGATGGGAGATATTTAGAGTAAAATTACAATATTAAGTAAACTTTTTAAACTAGTATTCCCATAAATTCATTAATTAGCATCAAGAAGGTTGATAGTCATGCAGTACATGATACTTGTATCAGCAAAAACTCTTTAACAAATATTGTAAGAGGTGTACATAAAAAAAATATTCAATATACTAAAAAGTAAAATTCAATGATTATTTTGTACTGATATTTCACATGAAATACTTTTCTTAAAGAGAATCTCATAAAGTGGACTAAAATAAACTAGAAAATCTTGTCATTTGTTTTTATCACTCACCAAAAAAAATTGTCATGATGTGTTTTTCTTCTTCTGAAAGCCATCTGAAACATGAAAATAAGAGGGAGAGAGAAATAGATATATTCTTGGGGGAAAATAAATGATATTCTGATTCAATAGTGATCTGATTACAACATTTACAGTGAACTCAATGTTTTATCACCAAGTCTAAGCCTGATTTTCCCTCTGTCAATTGGATTTAGATGATAAATTATCGTGTAGATTCTGTCTTGAAATGTCAAATATCTAGATTAAAAAGTGGATTCATGGTACAGCTGTGTTAAACATTACAATATCTGTACTCTTGAGAATCTAAATCACTGATTTCTGATAATAGATTTTTTCTGATTAAACAAAGGAAAAGGAGACAAAATAAGGTTTTAAACAATGCTACATTTGTTATTTCTGTTTTCTTAAAAGACATATACCATTTTTTTTCCCACATTATTATTATGGTATGCTGTATGAATATTTTTTCCATGTGGGGGTTGATTGCTACGAAATGTGTTAAAGAATCATATGTTTATTTTTTAAAGTTTAAAGGTTTCTTTTTTAATGTGGATGGTTGACATAAACATACCGTAAACTGAAAACAGATCCAATATTGCACATGAGGAGGAATATTTTACATTATAAAATTATTCTAACTGTCTTTTGCATTACATTTTAAGAGTAAAATGAAAGTTAATGTTGTTTCTTCAATATAAGTATTAGTTTTATGAATGGATTTTGTGAAACACTTCATTTAAGACTTTTATTATTTATAATTATGCTCTGTATATTTCAGGCTGACAAGGGAGAATTGAAGTCAGAGACTTGGTGCAAGTTTTACGGCCTTCTGTATAATTCCTGTAAATACATTGCAGCATTTCACTTAGTTGTCTTAGGTGTTCTCAGGGGAATTTTACTCACTGACCGAGCTCATCATGGGCCTACAGCTATTCATGCTTTAATAACTTGTGCCATATTGTGGCTGGCTTCATTGCTTGCAAATATTCCGATGATATCGTCATCTATTCACGATTCATATACCAACCGTTGTGTTGTCGCATTTGGTGAAAAAAAGGACCCAGTCTCTTTACAGAGCAGGGACACTGTAGCTGAAGAGCGCTACACTATTTTATCTGCAGCTTTCTCATATTTCTTACCATTAGTTCTTATTATCATCATATACTTGTTCACTGGTTACATGAGTAAACGTTTTTTTGAGGACAGTTATTCACTGCGGGAAAGGCGCATGTCTAAAATGATTTCTAGTTTAATTGTGACTTTTGCTTTGTGCCGGTTACCGTCAGAGACGGTCTCGTTACTCTGGTTCTACCAGGTGAAAAACACAGATATGATGCAAGCATTAAGCAATGATACAGACAAATTTAAAGTGTGGATTCACGTACGAGAATATCTTCAAATTCTCTCAATGTTTGATATGGCAATACGCCCAATAATATATGCGACAATGTCACGAGAGTTTGGACTTGTGTATGATAAAGTTATCAATTGTACGTACTGTAAAGAGGAGGAGGAAGAATTACCACCACGTTTACGTCGTCGTGGTGACGAAATTGAAGAAGTGCTACACACCCCACTACGGCAAAATCCTGAGAACCAGGAGTGTCCAGACAACGAACCAGAAGAAATTTTTTGATAAATCTAGTGCTATGTTTTGCTTTATTTTGTTGTTTAAGACTTACATCTATAGTTTTTTAAACATTGATTAGGGAACTTCACAGAAACACATTTAACTTATAGGTCAGTTTTGAAAAATAAATCAGCTTGCCAGCTGCTAGTCATTTAACTTCTCATGTACATGTGAAGTTATAAAGAAATTTTTTTATTTTTGTTGTAAGAGTCATAACTTTGTGTAAAATTGATAATACTTTAAATTTTTGAGTTTAAACAAAGGTTTTACTCTTTCATGGTTTCAAAAGTCATATTTGAAAAATAAATACACCAAATATTTGTAAGTTCTCAAATACACCAATGACATTCTTGTTAATGATAAATGGTTGACAGTCTTAACTTTCTAACCATAGACACCAGCTATTTGTTAATAATGTTAAAATCAGATATTTGTAGCATGTAATATTGTGTTTGTATTACTTGGGCATTAAATAGATGTATCAACATTAGCTTTAATGTATGCCAACAGAATTTCCAAAACTTACTGTACATTATCAATTGAGATTTCAGTTACGTTTTGATTTGACTGTGTCATAATTTAAAAACACTGTACATTTATAATGTAATTATATTTTATCAGTACATGATTTTCAATCCTATTATTAAAAGTACATTCTTATGGTAACACTAATGCATCATTCAGTTGTATCTATTAGTATTCCCTGCCCTCTGCCTGGGGAATATCGGGGACTTTGACTATCACATCTCTAGTAAGATGTTAAAATTCCTACTAAATGCCTCTGCACTGTGAGTTAGATATTTCACGAGCTGTTTTGGTACCTTAACAAAACCATTGTAGCTACCTGGCTGCTTGGGATAAATGTTGCCTCATTTCCCGTACAATCCCTATGTGCATTAACACTTATCAATTTTTTCAACTTCTTAATTAGTTTGGGTGTTTAAACTTGAACAGAACATATTATGGTTAAAGTATATGTATCCTTTCTTTAAAAGTCATTTCTTTTTTAATAAAAAAGATACTCAATGTTCAAGGAGATAATTTGTAATTGCTGTCTAACCTTTAAAACATTAATAAACATTGTCAGATTCTAGATTCTTTCTCTGTCCCCATGGTTACTCTTTAAGTCAATTTTGTTAATTGTTTTCTTTATTTTGTTATTGACACTGTATATAGTTATAGGGGCTTTAAGCGAAATTAATGTATGTGAACTTTGATAATGAAGAATATACAGTGGCTTTACGTTAAACCTTTTATGACGGACTGTTTAATTCTCTTATTTTTGATTTTCTGCTGTTATTTTCTGTTAATTCCTTTATTGTTAAATACAGTCATGTATAAGCAAAAAAAAAGCACAAGTTTTACAATTGAAATTATATTTAGACATTATTGATTTAATTAAAAACACATACTTTATCAGTATTTTATTACACATAATTCAATTATGTTATTGTATTGCTGTAAAAAATGTAATACTAACTATTATAAAAAATTCTGCTGATATATTTTAACATTTTTGATGTAGAGGCATAAGACTGTAGATGAAATAATGTAGGATATTTACAAATTACCGTTATGTTCTACAGTACCCTGTATCATACATGTATGATCAACAGCTCTAAAATTTTGTTTGTATTGCATTTATTATGTATTTTCATGGAACTATTTGCTCATGATTTTGGCCTGCCAGTATTTTTGATATGTTCGGGTAATGTTTTATCATGATCACTTTGTATAATGTCTACCAGATAGGAATATTTTATATGAAATTGTCAACCATTACACCGGTATAATGTCTACCAGATAGGAATATTTTATATGAAATTGTCAACCATTACACCGGTATAATGTCTACCAGATAGGAATATTTTATATGAAATTGTCAACCATTACACCGGTATAATGTCTACCAGATAGGAATATTTTATATGAAAAAATTGTCAACTGTTACACTCACTGACTGGAGGGTTAGGTGACTCCTATCCTGATTTATAATGCTGTCATCTTTATGGTCGTGTCAGTAAATCAGTTCAGTTAATTTTAACACAACTGGTAAAAAGAAAATATTGATAACACAGGTAGACTATTATAGATAGTATCATGGTAAAACCTTGTTTTTATTTCTTAAATCTTGACTTCAGGTATATTAGCATTATAATCTATGTATATATATACATAATATAATATTTCTGTGTAAATATATAGATATTGTAATCTACAGTGATGCTATACTTTAGGCTTAATCCCTGGTTGAGTGGTTGAGGTGGTTGGCTTTAAACCTCTTACCTCATACTTGTAGGTTCGAGCCACGTGTCTTTGGATCATTCATGTGAGAAAGCTATCCAGCTAGCTTAAGGAACATCAGCGTTTCTACTCAGGTTCCCATTAGTGCCTGAAATAATTCAAAGATTCAAGGAGGACACCTGAAGTCCTCCTCCACCAGTTAAGCTGGAAAGTTGCCATATAACATATACTGTGTTGATGTGAAGTAAAACCAAACCAAAAAAAAGCACATGATTTGTAATGTTATTTTTCCAAAACTGCAAAAGTTAATTAGCAAAGCAAACACTGTATAAAGTGTATGATGATTGCAGATTTTACATTGATAGCATGTCTGGATTTCTAGTGTTTGATTCACTTGTTGTAATTTAAACCATATGCTTTATATGATTTCAATCTTCCATTTTATATGATGTTGAAATTCATACATTACTATCAGAAAATATTACTCTGTAGCATATTTGTTTTTTTTCTCCAAACAATAATAAGTAAAAATCACTGCTTCACTGGTTGCCAGTACAGACTACAATATCTAGCTCTCTGGTTACCAGAACCTCATTACCATCTTTTAACACTTACTTTTAAGCCAAATGTTATAATCTGTACCAGCAGCCAATATAAGATTCTTAAAGTCTATGGATAGTTCTTTGAATTTCCATGTTGCAAATTGTAGAAAATCTGATTTTTGTTCATTTATTAAGGAGGGTTATTAGCAACAATGTCTCAGATAATTGTTCAAAATTACTCAAATTATTTTTTTTTAAAGAAATCAGTTCAATTTAGATAATTGGAATGGCTGAGATTATTCATTTATTGTACATGTACAGGTACTTGTTTTATTGTTGTTTTTTTTTGTACATTTGCTAAAGTAGTGTGAGATGTATTGTTAACGTGTTAGCATGGTGCACATGTATATTAACATATTTTTAATAAGTTGACTGATGTCAATATTTTTGTAATTGTAAGTTTAAAGTTTTAACTCATAATCTGCTGATATTGAAAGTGACTAACCTTTGACACCAGTATAGAGCCAGGCCAGCCTGTAATTATGTGCAGTTTGACCAGGCTCTATACTGTTGACTGACCAGCTTAAATTTAACATCTGATAGTTCCAAAAATATATCCCCAAATTGATTAAGAAAAATTCCTATAATGGAAGATTGGCGATACCAATTAAGAACTCCTGCAGGTTGTTGGTTAATTGTTTGTTAATTAATACATGTACATTGCTTTATCACAGTTTACAAGGTGCTCAATAGATGTTGTAATTGTGTATATAATAATTGGAACATGTTTAGTGCTATATAATTGTTTGATATAAATCTTCACTATGGAGGGTAAATAGTTACATATATTCTCCTTTATTGTCATTTTAAATTAGTATTATGTTGTATAATTTCACCAGAATCTGAATTTGTTTGGGTGTATTTGTATGATATGGTCAGCTGTATCATAGGCCAGAAGAAAATTTTTGAAAAATATTGAATGAATATAAAGTAAATGGAACTAGGTGTATATGTACAGTTAGATATTTGTGAATGTCCAGATGTTTAAGTTGTTTATTTCATTTACAGATTTTATAGCTTTAATATATGTGAAGCTGAGTGATTTCAGTGCATGTCTACATTATTTAGCTTAGCTACTATTTGGTTAAGAGATTTTAATGATATACGTTAATTGAAGTGTAATTAATATGGTATAGGTATAAGTTGAAGACTACACAACATACTGATCTAGTCATCTACATAAGACATTCATTATGTTGGCTCACCTATATTTAAGCTTACACTTATTAATATTACACATTATTGTATAGGATTTTTATAAACTTACAGCATATGTTTCAACAGAATATATTGTTGTTTGTATACAAGTTATATTAGAGATTGACATGCTCACAAAACAGTGAAAATCCCTGTGATAAGATTGTTTTGCATTAAGTTCACATAGAGTTGGGTTGAATTAATTCTAAGGGGAACATAAGGTACCACTGGCACTCCCGGGGGAGGGGGGGGGGGGAGAGAGAAGTGGTTACCAAGAGAGACCATGACATACTCTTGGAAAGGTACACAATTTTAAACTCAAACAAAAAAATTGTCCCAATTGACAATGTCAGATTTTATGTCAATATTTCTATTATTAGAACAAAAAGAAGAGTTTTAAATAGGTCATAGAACGCTATTTGCTCATAATTATGTGGACATTGCTTCTTTCTTTTGTATACAGTTTTATACTTGCTATAATTATGTTACATACATACATACATACATACATAGAAAGCTTTTAGGTGTTTTCTATTGATTTATATTATTAACCAGGTAAATATTTTTGTATGGGTCATGGGACTGAAATGCTCAGAAATTTATATTAACATGAGCTAAGGCTGCACCAATTTGTGTATTTAAATCTTTTTACAGATCTCTTTTTGTTTAAATACTCATGATTCCCAAGAGTCATCAACGTGAAACTTGAAGTTCTTGCTAAGGGACTTAATTCTGATAGCTATATTTTTGGAGTTATGCCCCTTTTTAACATAGATTTTTTTTTAAAAGTGTAAAGTGTTTATTTTAACAGACAAATATTTTTTTATCAAAAGTGGATATTAAAACAGACAAGTGATGATAACACTGTTTTAATTTTATTTTTAAGTGTAATTATTTTATCTTTATAAAACACTGTCACATTATTATATTAACTAGTCTCTGCTAGCAATGTTACACAATTGGGTAAATGTTTGCCAATCATATTCTAATGGAGAAGTTCACAATAACTGTCATATAAACAATATTTGTTATAAAGGTCAGGAAATCTCAAGGTATAAAATTTGCATGAACATTATTAATTTTGTGTACATATTGAACTTAATTAGTTATTTATCAGTGAGTTTTTATTCTTAGCATTTTAGTTGTTAAATTTTTTTTTCATCTTAATCAGGATTTTTATTTTATGAGATTTTAAATATAAAATTTATTTTTCCCATAATTCAATGCTCAAGTTAATGAGATGAGGAGGGGTTATTGTATATTAGATAGATATTTGACAATCTGTTTGTTTAATTGTAGAAATATTTGATAATAATATTTTATTTTGTTATCTATGGTGATGCTTTTTTTCGCAAAAAATAAAGAGAATGAAATCCACGGAAAGGTATACTTCTTTCATAGATTGCTAAATTAGTTTTGATAATTCTAGATGATTTTGGCTGCACAAAGATTGCTTTGAAACTCCTTCATACTTGTATACCTTCCCATTGCTGGTCAATTTATCTTATGAAATAGTTCTAGCACACAGATTATTGATTTATGATTATTCTGTACCAGTAGTGGAATAGGCTTGTCCTTTGCAGAATTGTCTATTTCTAATTAAGGGAAGACTATATTTTTTGCCTGGCTTTATTCTTGTGACAAAAGTCTGATATTATCTAACTAATTATCAAAGAATTAAAGCATATATTTTCTTTTAAAGTGCCAGTAGAAAACAGATTTAATATGATAACAAAATGTGACTCGAGTTAAGTGCAGTATATTGTAGTTTTAATAGCCATGATCAAATTATGAGCCGCATCGTGACAAAACCCACATACTTGGTTTGCGACCAGCATGGATCCAGATCCGCTCGGTCTGATCAGGATCCATGCTGTTCGCTTACCAACTCTCTTACAAGTAGAGAAACTGATAGCGAACAGCATGTATCCTGATCAGACTGCGCGGATGCCGGGCTGGTCTGGATCCATGCTGGTCGCAAACCCATTATGTTGGTTTTGTCGTGACGCGACTCTTATATAGTTTACTGATGGATTAAAGCCTTTTATTGCTTACAAATATATGTCTACCTCAATACATATATAACCAAAGCTAGTTAGAACAACATTGTATGAAGTATTACATGTCTCCGTTATGTTTAATAGTCAATTGAATGAAAGGTAATATATATGCAGTGTAATAGAGAACTAAAATGTATATGAAATACTAAACATTGATTAATTAAGACAGGCTTTAGTACTTACACATTGAATAATGTTTGTTATTAGGTAAGTTTTTGAGATTGAAACTGAAATCCCATCACAAAACAATACACCAAACCATCGTTTTTTTAAGTCAGAACAATCAGAATGTCATATAAACTATGTCTATTTGGAAGTAAATAAAATAAGACTCTTTTCACATTGTTAAGTTATTGTGTATACTTGTTGAATGTTTGCAAAGATATCATGCTTCATATAGTTATGCTTTAATGTTTTACTGAATGTATCATTTTGATACACTTTTAAGTATTTGATGAACTATTTTAGATTTAAATTTACAGTTTAAGCTTCTTTAGCATGTTTTATTTTTTAATTCTTGCCTTTTATATAGATATATCTGTGATTATTATTATTATTAGGTAAGGATGATTGAACAATGAATATTTGGTACCTAGCTCTGTGCTGGAAGCCCTGTTGTCTAAACCAGTAGAATTATTGGTATAAAATGATACAGATCTTGATATTAGGGCTTCTTACAATCAGTTTGGAGGTAAAACATTCTGGTATAAAATAATCAACTGACAAAGTGGTAAAAAATTCTTAAAAATTAATGATAATCATTGCTTATGTGTAGAATTAACTTGAGAAAGGTGCTGCTTTTATTAAAGTGTTCAAATAGTTTGCAACATCTTGTATAAAAAAGTTTAATTGAAGGATGCAAAAATCGTTACCATGCTTATAAAGAATTATAGTGGAGCAGTTATGTTTTAGTATTTACATTGTATGAAATGAAAGTTAAAAATCATATTGGAACTCAATGAATTCTTATCATCGGCTTTAAAGTATGTATGTACAAAGTACCTTTGTTGATCATGTTTGATATTTCAAAATACAACCAATATATTCACTCATGGTAGGTCATAAAACCAATATTGTTATTGATGTTAGGTCATATATGATTACCTTGATGTTGGGTCATATATGATTACCTTGATGTTGGGTCATATTTAATTACCTTGATGTTGGGTCATATATGATTACCTTGATGTTGGGTCATATATGATTACCTTGATGTTAGGTCATATATGATTACTTGATGTTGGGTCATATTACTGATATTTTCACTGATAGTGGGTAACATAACCGTCATGTTTGCTGAAGTTGGTTATATATAAACTGATATTTTTCACTGAGTGTAGGTTATATAACAAAGTACACTGTTTGATATATATATAACTGATAATTTTACTGATGGTAGGTCATATATCCGGTATTTTTCACCATTGAAACAATATAACTGATATTAAGCCAATGTTGAATCATTTAACCAAAATGTTCACTGATTTGTCTTCCAGGGCTTTATGTAATATAAATGAAAATTACAAGTATAAAACTTTATTATTCATTTTAAGCAGTCACTGTCACAGATTTTATTGTACAGCTGGTGTACAGACTAACCTGTATTTTGTTAATCTCTAGTTTAATATGTTTTATATGACATGCTTAAAAATCTGAATTTCTTATTCATAAGGTACTTTTTACACTTATAATTATGGTGCAAATAAATATTTAACTTAGATATATTTTACATGTTTATGACCATTCATATTTTCATTTCTATCTTTTTTTTTATATGTATAAAGGTGAAAGATTCAAGCTGCAATCTTGTTAAATTACAATTTCATCTTGTGTTAGCATATAATGCTACTAACAATTCACTCGTAATAAAACATAGCTTTTGTACATAACTGTACTTGTACTTTTCTATTGAAAATGTGTCAAATTTCAATCATATT